AACTGAAGACAGACCAACTGCGGTGAGAGAAAGTAAACACATCCATGCACCAGTCAGCCCTAGCAAGCTCCTCGCTGAGATTACAAACTGCAGTTCCTGCCTGAGCCGGCGACGATGCTGGAGCCCGCTGGGGGTGGGGCAGAGCCACGGAGCAGCCTCCTCTGCCTCTGTTATTTGTGCCCCATGGGAGATGGGTCACCTGGGCGTTCGCTCAGGACCTGCTTGGGACATTCCTAAGCAGAGTGTGCTCTGCCAGCACGTTCCCATCGGTTTCACACTTGGAAACTTCCCAAAAGAAGAAGGGACCAGCTTCATTCTTCTGATCTACAGGGGCCCTTCTCCTATACCCCTATGTTCTCTGTGTTCAGGTGAAATTCACCAGAAAGAGAATGGGGATTTTTCACAAAATAGAATGTGATTACTACATAATTTGATAGGGATATTTGAGGAACTTTTCCCTGGGAAAAATAGATACTTTAAACACTTCTCCTCAAAACACACACACACATACGCGCACAAACTGTTTTTGTGAAAGACAATTAATAAATGCTAATTCATTCAGGCATATCTCCACCAAATTACTGTTTCATTTAATTGCAGGGGAATTTTCCATTACTAAACTCTCCCTTGCTGATTTTTTTTGCATTATTTATGTATTTTTACAGTTTCACTAATAGTGAGGCTGGTATGCGATATTATCTGCTGTTTGTACGTCTTAAATTTCTTTTTCATTTAAAATGTTTCCTCATTCTTGCAGCTCCACGTAATCTGGGAGAAACATAATTAAAAGCGGACAAGATTTTATACACAAATGATTGAAAAAGGCTCTAGCTGACATGAACCTTACAGGAGCGCATCTTGTCTGATTGTGCCTCTCAGGCGTTCATGAGTGGGTGTGAGTGTGTCTGTCACGACTTTGGTTTAATGCGGAAACGTTTTCCTATGTAGGGGAGTCACAAGTCTATCTATGTAACGATTGTAGGTACACAACTAGGAATGAAGATCACAGGGGCTGTAATAATAAAAATAAACACTCAAATCTCCTTATAAGCTCCCAAATTGCAATGAGTATTTTCTTCCTTTCCCTGGATACCAAATCAAGACTTTGCCATCTAGACACCCCAGTTCCAGACGAGCTGGCTCCTGAAAATCCTGCGTTTTCTTATGCATAAGAAAGTGGGGGCTTCCAGTGGTGGTTAGGAGTTGGTTAAGGGTGTGGTAGAGATTCTGTTCAAAAGGATGTATTTTGAAGTGAATTTCCACTTTCTTATATTGAATGACAAAGGCTCCATGCACCTGGCTATCTTCGTTTCTGAGATAACTTCTTTCATTTTTATTCTCTCCAGCCACCTTCTCCCTCTCCCTCTCCCCTCCCCCATTGCCCCCTTTCAGCGACTTTCTTTTTCTCTTCATTCCCTTCTTTTCTTTTTCAGTTACATATTCTGAGGATGTGAATGATTAAACTGTTTACTTCAAGGTTTAGGTATGAAAAGGCATGTCACCGTAAGCAAAGTTTCACCTTTACACCCAACTCTATCAATAATTACAGAACAAGGATGACTATTCGTAAATCTTTCTTACAATTAATTAGGTCTTGGAAAAATGATGCCATTTATTCTGAGCATACTGAGTTCTATTGATTTTACTTTTCACAAAAATTAATTACAAAGCAGAGTAACCTCCAAAATGAAGTCAGTGTATAAAGGGACTGTGAGTATATGGACTGGAAAATGTATAACCACAAAACATTTGCCACATTAAAATTTGAGATTTGAGGCCATAAATAGAAAGTTTTGACATATTACTACATTAGTAGATGCTTTCCTTTGAATGAAAATATCCCTTAATAACTTAATAAAAGTCCATGAGCTTAATTTTTGTTTTGTTTTCCTTCACTTCCTTTGTCCTCTTCAGCAAAATTAGGCAGAGCCTTTTTGAGTACAAACTAAAAAAATTAATTAACTTTTCTTTCATCCCAAAAAAGTTCCAAGTAAATGCTTCCAATAGACATCAAAAAAGTGACAATTAGAAATAATTACTTATAATCAGTGAGGCAATTAAAATGACAAAGCTTGAAAGATACTTATCTCAAAACTAATTCGCAAGGTAGCTAAATTATCTCCTAATTAACTGGCATTGAGGAGGGTGGGAGGACGGACCATCCTGAAACAAAGATGAATTGAGGAGCCCCAGAGCCTCTGCATGTTCCTCCAGACTGTTTCCCACCCTGAGAAGACTTTGTTTCCAACCAGGCAAGAAACCTGGGAAGAAAACATCCTTCCCAAATGCCATTGGCCTCCTCTCCTCCTTTTTAAAACTAAGAGGAGGGAACAGGGTTTACACCTCAGATCAGGGAAGTTAGAGGCATGTTCCTTACAGATTTTAGGTCTTATTTTACCTGAATAACCTATTTTCAGGAGCTGGGGACAGGGTTGCAGCAAGTTCTTGTGCATAACTTTTAATGGCAACCTGCTTGCTTTTACTGAGCTCTCTTCCTTACTGACACGTTATCATTTACACGTTAATATTTATGTGGCGTTTATTGTTTCTCATGCATCTTTGAACATTTTAAAAAAGCGTTTCTGCTTTAGAGGACCTTTGTTCCCTGATGCTACAAAATTCTCAGTTGATTTTGAGGAACGTTCAGTCCAATGCTGATCAGCGCACACCAGAATAATTTCCTGTGCGTTCTCCACACACTTTCAGAATAAAACTCGGCGGGGAAAATTAAGATCTCCCTGGAAAGCGTGATCAGCCGAGTGAGCCGCCCAGCAAACTTTTCTTGAGCGTCTCGGGTTGTTGGAAACCGTGCGCTCGGCCTCGCTCCCGCGAAAAGCCCTGCGCCTGCGGCTCCCGGATTCCCAGGGAGAGAAAAGTGGGAGCTCTCCAGGCAAGACAATCGGAACAGTGCCTGCAGGACAGAGGGAAGACGCCCAAACTGGAGAACTGGGCTTATAAAAGCCTGAGGGTGGGTTTGCGAATTTAGTCCTAAATATGGGCAACGGCTTCAGGTAAACTGCCTGGACAGACACAGGGTCCCTTGCTCAGGTCTGCCGGGGAGGGTTTAGAAAAGAAACAGGGCACAGCCTTGAACCTTCTGAGCTGTGTTTTAGGCAATTTCTTGTTTTATTAACTAAATTAAACGAAAAGAGAAAGGCTCTCCCGCCCCTGGAAGTTTGATTTCTTTATTTGTTTTGGGAAAGGGCAGATGAAACCCCTTTGTCTCCTAGAGAGAAAAGTGCTCTACCCCAGGCCCTGCCGGGGGCGCACAGTTTCCTCTCCAAACCCAAGGGCGACTTTCAGCTGAGCCTGGGCAAGTTGGCCTCTCATCATCTGGGTCTGTTGCCCATTAAAAACTGAGTAAAAATAAGTTGTGCCTTTTATCCTTTCCTTCTTTGATTCCCATTTATTCTAATGAGTGCTTCCAGAATGAAAGTAAGTAGCAATAACAAAATCAAGCCATCCCGAGGGACTGTGATATCGTCTTATTTCTCGCGCGGCCACTGAGGAAGGGTCTGGTTCTGCACGATAAATTCGGGGTCCTAGGACACCCACTCCTGCCACCGCCCGAAATGCCAGCGGAACGCCGGGGCCTGGAGGAGGACAGCCTCGGGAGCCGAGCGGGAGCGGCGGGAGCAGCCTGACGCGGGACAGGGCGTTTGGCGCTGCGCGCACGGACTCCGGAGACCGTCCAGATCCCGAGGCGTGGCGAGCCCCGGCATTGCGTCCCGGTTTGGCTAAAGACTGGGGGTCTAAAGCTTGGCTGGTCTCCGAGCGTGGTCAAAAGCGAGTGGCGCCGGGATGCGGCTGGGTAAGGGGTGCCAGGCAGCTCCGCGCGTCCCCTGGCTTGCGGACCCGCCGCTCCTTGAGGGGGAGGCCCTCGGTCTCTAGTCCACGCCCTGGAGGCGCCCGCGGCGGTGGCCCAAGTCTCACATGGGAACGGGGGTGGAAGGTAGCGTCCGCTGACTGCGCTTTTTGGCCCCAGAGCAAACCCCGGGAGAAACCTCCCTGGGCCCCGGGGGTTCCCCGCGCCCCTGCGGAGCTCGGACGCGCGGCGCTCTCGGCTCAATAGAGATCTCAGCCACGCGCCGCGCCAGACCCTGCCCTCCTTATTAGAACAAATGTCCCGTTTGCCGAGCGGGACTTCATATTCGCCGAGAATTCATCTGAAATATTGATTTCCTCTCACTTAGCCGGTCCAAATCGATAGCGCTGCGCCCTGGCCCCATAAATCGCCTTCCCCGCGGCCCGCCCGGCTCCATCCATCACCGCGGGCCGGGCCGCGCCTCGCCTGCTGCCACACTTGCCACTCACCAGGCGGCAGAGCCCATCGCGCCGCCAGCCCCGACCCGGTGCAGACCCCAAGCCTGGGTCAGGAGGTGGCGAGAGCCGGCGCAGCGGCCAGGACCCCGAGCACTCTTGAAGGCCTTGGGCCGGGTCGCGGTGGGGAGGGGACTCTGCCAGCGCGCTGCTCCTCGTCCGCCCCGCGTCCGGAAAGGAGTCCAAGAGCACCCGGGTGCACCCAGCGACTCCCGGGACCTGGGGTCCCTTCCCGTTGGCTAGAGAGATGCGCGGGGCTCGCAGTCCCGCCGAGCAGCCGCGAGCAAAGGCTGTGCGCACCCGGGGACGAGGGCGCAGAGGTCGGGGCAGGGGGGCTGCGAGTCCAGCACTGGAGCGGCCCAGGGCCTGAGATGGCCCAGGGTGCCCGCAGTAAAGGGCGAGCGCGTGCGAGGAACACCCCTTTGCCCCCACGGAGAGCGCCTTCCCCTCCGTGTGGCCAGCCGAATACAAGGCCCGGAAAAGGCAGCTCCGCGGGCCGAGGGGGACCTCAGGGCCCGAAAGCAGCAAGCCGGCCGCCGCGGAGAGCCAGGCCCGAGGCGCCTCCAGTCGCGTCCCCAGGCGCATGGGTCCCGCAAGCCAGCTGCCTGCCCCACCGACCCGAGCGCACGCACAGACAAGCGGCCACGCGGGCTGGAGTCCTGGCTTCGCCACGTCCTTACCGGATCTGATGGAGTTGTGAGGCATCGCGCGGAGTCGCTTGCAGCCGCCGGGTGCTCAGGCTTCCTCACGCAGGTGCCCGTCGCGCCCGCCGCCACGCCGCTGCCCTGCAGACCACGGAGGGGGCATGACATTCCGTGTCCCCTGCCTTACACCTCTCCCAGCTTTACCCCTAAGCTCTCATCACGTGGCAAGAGTCAGAGGATTTGGGGGACAAGTGTGACCAATCTAGCCTGGCTAATGCGCACTCTCCCGAGGATCCGGGATTGGAGGTCCACTGTGGAAGCCCCAACTCCAGCCTGGGTACCCTCTTCCCCTGCTCTTCCAGCCTTTCCAGTTTAACTTGGGAGGGAAAAGGCTGTCAGCCTTTCTGGGACCATCCCTTCTAGAATCACCCCTCTCCCCGGGTCAGCTTTCAGCCAACCCCTGGGCAGCATACCTGGCCGGTCGCAGGCCCTCACTGCCCAGGTCCGCGGAGGGTGCCCTGGGCCCGCCTCTCTTCTAGCTCTGAAGTTTGTTCCCATCCACCCGGCATCGCCAACCGGTTTTATCCCGCCGGGGCCCTGAGAGATGGGTCTGGAGAGGCTAGCAGGCCGCGGATTGGCTGGCTGGGTGTAGGGGGTGCGGGAAGGGGAGGATTTTTGCAAAGGGGGACATGGCTGAGTGGACTCAGGAGTTGGAACATTCACCAGAGCTTCTGTTTCCAGCGGAGAGAGGAGAGGCAGGCAGCTGAGCCCTAACTCAGCAGGCCTGGAAATACACCAGTAGTGGGGCATGGAGGCCTCAGGGCCTGAGGGTAAGGGTCTAGGTCCTCCTGGGGCCACTGACCAGCAGAGGTGAGATCTACCTACCCTGAGTCCCTCTGTCATCCCTGGTCTGCTTACTGGAATGGCCTTTTCCTTTAGAGGAGGGAACTTTTGTTTCTGGGCCTGGTTCTTAAGGTAGGAGCTTACTCATGGCTGGAGACAAGAAGGTCCCCTCTTCTCCCCAGCGGTGCCATACTCTTCCAGGACAGAACCCTGACCATTGAGGCAGAACTGTCAATCTATTGCTCCATGCCTCCCAGACTCACACCCTCACATTGTTAGTTTATGAAAATGGTCATATACCCTACTCTACAGAGGCACCCCTCCCCTCCCAAACATAGGCAGCCACCAGCCAGCTGTCTTCCTCTTGAGATTTTGAAATTTGGAGAAGAGTTCATAGGGTGGGCAGCAAGATCTTATCTGGACATGGAAGGATGTTAGAAAGGGACAGTGCTGAGCTGACATCTGGCCTTGTCTGCAGGAGTCAGCAGCCTGTGAAGGTGCAGTCCTGGGTGGAGATAAGAAGGGATCTCTTGGATGGGAATGAGAGCCCTTGGTGCTAGGAGAAGCTACCCCCTCCTTCCTCACAGGTCTTCTGTCAGGGAGGTGGATACAGGGAGGACTATGAACAAATGTTCTAGAGCACCTGCAGGCCAGTTGGCAAGTCCTGGATGCTCCCCCAGCCCTAGGCCAGACTCAGGATTACAGCTGAGAGGCAGCTATGTTCCCTGACCTGGAGGGACTGCTCTGGGATACAGAGGATAGAGGTGCTGGGTGAGAGGGAAGTGAAGGGGCAGAGGGAACTGGGTGCTCAGCGGGAAGTGTGTGTGTATGCACATGTGTGTGTACCTGTGTGTGTAAAAACACACTATTTTTCTTAATTACGAAAAAATTTTATCTTGCAGGTTAATCTGCTTCCCACCCAGACTTTCTCAATTTGGTAGACATTAATTATTCTGTGGAAAGAAAGAGAAAATAACGTGTAAGTCCTTAAATGGATCTTCCACATTTGTAAAGGGCTTTAAACAAAAACAATGGGTGCTTTATTGTTTTAAGTGTTTCTCCAAAATTATTATTTAAAATTGCTCTGTGGTTTCCAAACACTCCACTTCTCTAGGCACACCCCCTGGAGATAGAAGATAGAAGAGTATTGAGATGGAAATGAACGTTAGTGTAGGTCCCACACCTGGGCAGTTGGCTGCTCTGGTACCTGCCCTGCTCCTGTAGGGGGGCTGTGGAGTGTGGCAGTGAAGACAGAGTCACAGTGCACCAAGGCTTCCTTCCCACCAGGGAAGCCCTGCTCCAGGGTGAGACTGACAAGCTCCCATCCAAACAGTTTGAAAACTTCAGAGGGTCTACCCAGACCAAGGGGCTGATAGGTACCAGTTACCACAGAAATGCAAGCATCCATTCTTGTCCATGCTTTACTCCCATTCAACAAAACAAGCTCCCCTCCTCCCTCCCCCTTTTTAGCAAAAGTTCTCAAAGGACAAAAAGAGCAAGTTATCAAAACATTCCTGTCCCACTTGTGAGCTCATTAAAAAAAATTCATGTGCAAAAGACACATTTACACATCCTGAGATCACCCTTTCCCTGAATGGCAGGTGACATAGCAGATGGCTAGGTGGAGATTCCTCAGAGTAATTCTAGAGCTAACAGGCAATGTGAATGCAGAGATAAACACAAACCTCATGGCCTGGCCCAGCTTCCTAATTCCAATCTAAAATCAAGTCTGGGGTCCTTACCACTTCCTAATTCTCTGTGATTAAGACTAAAAAAATGGTTATTAACCAGTATCCCAAATCAAATCAATCTCTTTGGCATCAGACTCCTCCTCTGCAAAATGAAGGGGTTAAAAAATATATGTGTGTGTGTGTGTCTGTGTGTATGTGCCTTTTATCACAGTTTTTTCTCAAACTTAAAAAAATGATCATTTTAGTTAAGCATAAAAATCTCAAGCCTTCCTTTGATATTACCTAAAATTTCAAAATAAATTTAGGATCATGATTAAGAAACTCTCAGATAAATTTTAAAATAAGCATCTTCTTTCAAACCCTTCTCAGATTTGATGCCCATAAGGCTTTCTCACTGTGATTATCAATTGGCAACCTGTAATTTTTTTTAATTAATTTTAGTTGCCAATATAAAAATAAATCGGAAAGAGAGAGTAACTCTGGCTTGTCTTTAAAATTTTGACAGACCTGGTCACAAATTTAAGTGATTTGTTGTGGAAATGATTCTTCTTCCAGGTTTAACATTCAAAGAGTTTAATATATATCCCAGGGAGCTGCCTAACTCCAGTGAGTGTTGTGTGATTTTTAAATTCTAAATTGATCTGCTGAGCCTTGGAAAGATGGTCTTTCTTAACAGGATTCAACTGAAATCCATTGAGCTAGTAGTAGAGTTTGCCAGAGATGAGGCCAAGGGCATTCCCCAGATGTGGGGTTTTCAGTACTCCAACCAAACCAGCATGAGTTGGCCATCCTAGCTGATAGAGTCAGGAAGAGAGTGGTTTGTGGTCTTTTTTAAGCAGTTCCAAATTTAAATTGACTACAGGGTGGCTGTCTAATTGCATGGAAAAACCCTGCCACCTCTGGCTCAGGTTCCTTGGCTCCTTGAACTCCAGCACAGACCCATGGGCCATCTTCCCTTCACCCTTGTGGACCCCAGGAGAGGGAACCTGGGACCACAGCCTCCCCTTTGACATGAAGTCTCAGAAGTTTCTCTATGTAGACCACTCAGAGGCCAGCCTTGGGAGAAGATGCCTGCCCCCCAAAACCCTCCTTGCTTACCCACCATGCCACCTTCCCCCTGGGAAAAACAATTTCTGGGACTAAAGTGCATCCTTTGGGATGAAAACAGCAGCTCTCTGCTTTTAGTTAGGTGAGCATTTCAGCCATGGCTATATGAAATGGTCTGCTTCCTTTCTCTGAGCCTCAGTTTCCTCTTTTGCAGGATGTGGGTACAGTGGGGAGTGGGGAGGGGAGACACACCCCATAGATTTGTTGTGAGGATGAATAGAATAATGAGCATGAAAGCCCTTTGAAAAACTACAGCTGTGTACAAAGGTTAATTATTATTAGACAACAAAGGCAGGGCAGTGCTTCCAAGAAGGGCAGAGTTAAAACTCCTCTAAAATTTTTTGTAGAAGTCACATCCCTCATCCCTACCCCAAAGTTCTGTGACTTTTTCAAGCAGCCATGTGAGCCACTAGGTGGGGACAGGTGGGCTATTGGCCAGGAAAGGACCAGTCAGTGCCCACGGAGAGTGTAGGGTGGTGTGGGGGCTGCAGTGGGGCAGAGTGTCTGCAAGGAAAGCAGGGATGGCGTCTAGCCCACAAAGAGGAGGAGAGGGCCAGCGTGCCAGAGCTTCCAGCCTGGCTGGCAGCACCACCTCTGGGAGGGCAGGAGTGTTCAGGGCTCTGGCGGTTTCTGCTCCATCCTCAGCCCTCACAGGTGTGCCCAGTAGTGCCATAGCCACATGGGATTTCCACTCTGTCCCCACACTTCGGGAAATGGCCGGCAGCCTGGCCCTGCTAGAGAGTCAATCATTAATTATGTTGAGCCCCTCCCCTCCCTGCCAAGGCTTCCAAAACACCGAAATAGAAATACAGGTCCTGGCAGGTGAGAGGAAAAGGCTTCCCTCTGTGGAAAGCAGTTTGGAGAAAGTCACCATGCCTTTTGTCCTGTTGGTTTCAGGCTGGAGATGTGTCCTGCACCCAAGTCTCTTGAACCCTTTGTCTATCCACAGCCTCTTGGTGGCATTTCCAGGGCTGAGCAGGAAAGAGCATCATTGGGGAAGGAGAGAGGAAGGTGCAGAACAAAGGGGAGGACCAATACATAGAGGGGATGACGCAGGTCATTTTTTTCCTCCTTTAAATAGTTTATGTAAAAGTTACAATGAACAAGCTAGACCCTTTTGTAATCCATATTGCAGATGAGAAAACTAAGCCCTAGGGAAGGTAAGTACCATGTCTGAGGCTGCCCAGCTCGCAGGTGGCTGACTGGATGACCAAACAGGCACTGTTGATCCAGGCCTTGCACTGCGTTGGAAATTCTGCCCAACCAGCCTAGTTCCTCCCACTCCCCAGCACCTACCCACACTCCAGTCTGGAAAGATGGTTCTGGAGCCCAGGGAGTGGCCAGGTGAGGTCAGATCCCGTGGCCACGGGGGAGGACAGCAGCTCACTGAGCAGGAATGCCCCCTGTGCCCCGCCCCCGCCAGGCCCCGGGAGTCCAGCCAGAGCAGCGGAGCCAGGCTGCTGGAGTGGGCTGCCTTCCCCACAGTGTTCTTGGGGATGTGCCAAAGAAAACACCCTGGCTCAGGGCTCTTCATCAGACTCGGGGCTGGCTTTGTTCTCAGCAGCCTTGGGAAGCCGGAGATTCTGCCTTCACACAAGCACAGTAAAGTGTGGCCCCCCAATCAGTGGCAGTGCCCGGGACCCTGATGGAAGGACCAGAGACCCTGGTGGCTGGGGAGGTAGGTGGGGGAGAGGCTGAGGGATGAGAAGATCCAGGAGATCTGACCTGCCTTTTGCCCCCAACTTGCACTGCCTGCACCCTGGAAGGCTTCCCACATTCTGACAGGGCAATTTGGGGTGCTTTGCCTTGGCTCACCCTGAGACTCTCCTCCCAGTCAGACCCCTTGCATCCTGCTGGGGACCCAATAGCCCCTGCCTTCCCTACATTTGGAGGAGCAGCCCTGAGAGTTTAGGGC